GCGTCTTTGTCCTTCGCTGGAGGCGTCGACGATGGAAGCTGCAGGTGACCATCCACCCTATTTGTTCCTCTTTTCTTCTTCCCCTTGATCTGTTTGTTGTGTACTGATCGAGTATATTTGAGTGTTCGACTCCCACCGGAATCTAAATTTCTTCATGCCATCTTAAACCCTATTTTGCATGATTATTTTTTCATGCAAAATCCAAAGGATAACCATGAATGAGAAGTAATCGTACAATGACAATCACCCTTAATGCAAAATCAGCATTCAGCTTTCTATAAAATAATATCTTTAGTTAAATTAAGAATATTTGATATTTTAATTCATAGTTTCTAACAAAGATTCTTTTAGGTCTCGATATTTGTTTTTTTATACCATTAGTATTAATTGTCTCGATCTACCGTTCTCCTTAGCAAGCACATTCCCATGTCATCTCGAGCCATTCATTTTCATTTTTGTCTTCTATGAAAACATTCATATGAGACGTAACATGAAATTTTATCGTGAGTCTTCTTCGGAAGTTTTGCTTGTTGACAAGCTTAAAATTAACATATGACTTGCATGTGATTCTTTGATGAACCTTTTTCTTGCCAAGAGGTGTGATCTGTCTCTCAGAACAAAACTGCTTTGTTATGTGTATGTGAGTAATCACATTCTTCATTTGAGCTCTACTAGGCTTTGTCGCTGGGGTAGATTTAGATAGCACCTGATTTTGTTGCAATTTTGTTGGATTTGTCCGAGACAAGAAAGTGGAATTGATTTTTTTTTTTCATTTTCGTTCAAATTCTAACATGGCACAGTCAATTGGTTAAACTTTTTAACAGTCAGAAAATTAATTTTTGTGACTATTAGCCAGTGTTTCCTTAGTTCATGACTAATATAATCCGTAACAATTTTTTTTCACCATAGCTGATTATATTTTGTGTTCTTTGGCCTCTTCATGAGGCTCAGTGGTTACTTGAGAGAGATTTTCTACGGCTGCCTTTGAATAATTTCCAAACTATTTTTCATTTCGAGTTCTCAGTTTCTGCTAATCGAGTGTTGAAACTTTCTCGGTCAAACCTCTCCACGATCATGCATGTGTGATGGGAATAATTATGATCATATCCTAGGTTGGAGATTTTAGCTGAAACTCATCGTGAGCGAAATTTCACCCCAAGACAGTGTTCACATGCTTTTGTTTTTTTCTTTATCTATCTAGATTTTCTTCTTTCTCTAATTCTTTTCTTTTTATGCTGGATATACTTTTATTTGCTTCACTTGATCGAATCCAGTTAATTTTATAGTTCAATTCCAACAATGAAATCCTAATATCCATTATTGTTCCCTGTTGGGATAACGATAATGACTGTTGAACATTCAAATTTGGAAGTGTTTCTGGTTTTATCATTGGATGATAATAAACAATAAAAATCTCTCTTGTTTTAAATGAAGATGATATGAAGTACGTTAAGGAACTAGCATCTGGAATGTGCTTGTGCATGAGGGTAACTGGGAACGGAAGGAGTTACAAAGTTGATTCTTATATGGATTTCACATTTGAGTCTTATGGTCCTAGAACAAGACTTATATATTTTAGGGTCATTAGATCTTTAATTGCCAATTTTTGACCTTCAATATTTTATTTATCCTGCTTAGCTCCCTTATTAAAAGAGACATCTGGTGCAAATAATACCCAGATTTATATGTTAATATATCTTCATCCTGAGCTTCTAAAGTTGTATGTATTGCATAGGCTCCACGTCACACACAAAAGAAGCAGAATCGCTGGGCTATGCTCAGGAGATGACTGTAACTAGTAATACAAAAAAGCTCAAAAAATGAGCGAGAGGTTGTCAACTTGTGAAAAGAACAAAAACAATCCAGAGCCAACAGCGCAATGGTATGTTCTTAAGGTCACAATAGGTCCACCTTTTGGAGTTTGATGTGCCGGAACTATGTTCAAAATAGCTGTCAATGACGCAATCATGACTTGGTAAATTCATCTCGAAATTATAGGAGATCCAAGGACAAGAACAGCAAAACCAAAGCTGCTTGATATATGTGCTGCCACTTCCTGGAACACTCCAGCATTTACTTTGTCCGAGGAAGAAGGAACCGACCACCAAAAAGGGCAGGTTATGCTTTAGCATTCTTTATCATTCCATAGGATTTTGTTTTTGGATTTCTTAATTCTGAAATCTAAATTGTAAAATATCACTTCATCTCACTTCGCTCTGTTTTCTTTTTTTGCATCTTATCGGAAAGTAGATTCACCACACTTTTCCATTTATGAACTGTAAAAGACAAAAAAAAAAAGGAAAAGATAGCTTTGTTTAACAGAGGAAAAAGAGAAAAGGAGTACAGCTGAGCAAAACCTCGCAAATCTATCAAGTCACCAGAAACAAAAAAAAAAAAAGATATTCAAAATTGAAAAGGACAACTCTTTATGCATTCCACTTCTAATTGACGCCAGAACATCTCCTATCAGAACAGTGATTTTGTAATTATATTTTTTGTTTATCATCCTATTGTTGATGTTTAAGTATTGGAGGATGTGGTACGTCCTGCACGTTCTTTGGTGGTAAGGTTTTTCATATTTTAGCTTTGGAAAAGAACTTAGTAATGTTTTGATGGTTTTTGTTCTTTTCCTGGTTTGAGATGCAAAGCCAAAACTTCAGAGATGATACTGAGCATATTTGAAATCTTTGGTCATGTTTGCAGCCCACTTGGGGATGAAAGCATTATATGAATAATTTATTTCACCTGATATCTGTGGAAAGCATTGAAAATACAGAAGTACAATTTTGATGATGCCTTATGAGTGGCGGAAGAGACGGTGAGTAAATCCATCCAGCCAGGGTATTTGTGTGCTTTGAGAAACTAAATCAGCATTCTTAACCTCTGCCTCCTGGAAAGGTTCACTAATGGAGGAGAGATCATTCCTTGGTGAATAGAAATTGTTTGATGCTTTACTTGTTCTCCACCTCAGCTACTATAAAAGTTAAAAGTGCTTGCAGCTTGATTCCATACATCTGTTAAGTTCTTGTGAAACATGCAGGTTCACCTACAAGATTACAATAATGATGGACACAATCACAACTACAATCCTGGAGTGCTTCAGTGAACCTAAAAGAGCTGAGAGAACTAATCTGTATAAAGGAATCTGAAGTCTCTTCCATAATATATAATTTTCAAGATGTTTCTCTCCAAGAATTTTTCACTTTTTATTTTTGTTCCTCAATTGTCAAAAAGAGAAACAAAAAAATCCACATAAGGCTTTTATCTTAGGATAATGATTGCGCTTCCAATTTCATGTTGGAACAGAACCAAAGATAAGCAGCACTTACTAACCCACAACCGAGGAAGCAACTCTATAACACTGTCCAAGGGTGACAACATTTGGGCATGCAAATGCAGAAGAATCTGGATATCAGACAAAGCATGAGAAGATCCTTTGAGACATGATATAAAGCTTTGCGATCACTCAGGAATTTTGCTATAAGCAGCAAGGTGTATGCCTCTTTCAAGCCGTGGAATCATTTCCTTGTAAGGAAGAACATTATACTTTGTTCGGAACTTCTTCTCATTATGCACAAAATGTATTGTAAAAATCAAGTTCTCCTACGTGCAGTGCAGTGCAGCTCTTTCGACTTCAGAATCTGCATGACACGAAATCTGGGGACCAGCCTCTGTTCCTAGAACAAGAAATCTCCTGTAACGCGTATGTTCTTCTCTGAACAATCCAAGACGCTTGAGTTCTTGCTGATCATAGTGGCAAGCTCAGACTCTGACCATCACAGATCCTTGAAGAGCCTCAACTAGGCCTTGTTTGCTCTTTCACTGTCGCTACAAATGGTGTGGAGTGCTCTCTCGAGAACACGGCCGAGCCATGAGGAATCAATCCTAAGTTGGATTATTACCCTCGAAGAATCAGGTCGTTCGCCGATGAACCTGGGGAAACAGAAATGCCACAATCACGTAGTAAGGATAGAACTGCAACTCCTGCAACATACTGAACTTGGGTTTCAAAGTTTTCTCCACGCTTGCACAGAGAAATCTTGGGTTCCCCTGAGACGATCCTTTTCATTTGGGTGATGCTAAAACCACTCTGCCTCAGAAAATAAAGGGCGGAATCAGATTTGGAGGGGGACTTAACGTGGGCAAAAGGTATTTTATATGCTGTGGCTGCCTCATTAGACGATAGTCCACAAGATTTGATGAGGTACCAACAACAAAGTTGGATGTGGGAGGTGTGTTTTGGGTTGCAAAGGAAGCTAAACAAGAAAGGCTTATAACTTCACAGAGAATAACATGGGGAGGATGTGAATTAAGTTTTCTTTGATGAAGCAGCATCACCTACTCCCTCCAGAAATTTCAAATCTGCACTAGTAGGCCTCATATGTTTCCTTCTTTACAAGGATTTGTCCTTCTTGTGAATATTACTTCACAAGGGCTTTCCACAAACCTTTGACCTTTGCTAAAACTCATACAGCTTGCAGTCTCAGCACCCTTCCAGCCATCTAAAATATCAAATACCACTTTGCTCCACCTGCATTTAATTTTTTAAACCAGATTAATTTCTTTATTGTCTTCGAATGAAGACAATCAGAAAAGTATTTGAAGACATCAATAAGTTCACCCACCAAATCTACGATATAAAGACAAAATGTGACAATAGCCTTATGAACAAATGAATCCTAAATCAAGATACCTCTTGCAAGCTATTCATCGACTGTATGTTCTAATGACACTGGTTGTAAAAGATGCAAATCACATTCAGTTTGCTTTACAAGTGCTGAAAGGTGAGAATTCTAAGTGCAGATTGATAGGCAATATTCTGGTACCACCCGCACGATAACAGCTGGCAGCCACCTCGGAGTCAACATGGCACATGCGCATGGCACGAGCTCAGTAGCGACGTGCCATCGTACCCACACCACCCAGAATCGTACGAGGCGGCATTTCGCGGTGTAAAACCGCATTACTTGACTCGTGTCGCCCGACGCATCGACGACCATTAACAAACTATGTACGACTGACCCCCTACGATAGGTATAAATGTCGACCCTCTAGCCAGCACTTGAGGATCGGACTGGGAACACCCTTAAACTCACCTCGATCTAACTTGAGCTTCGGAGTGGTCGAGTCGGAGATCCCCCTCCCTACATTGACCTTTTATGCAAGAAGGCGACGTTGAAGCAAGAGCTCAAGTCGCACCTCGAGTCAGTCCAAGAGGCGTCAACCCTGACCCAACCTTATCCTTTTATCACCACCTCAGACATCCATGTGGACACCCTCACATGATCGAGACCGAACCGAGCCATACCAACTCGCGGGACACGACGTGAAGACACCAATATTTTTGGCGCTAAAAGGAGGGCCCGATGTCACAAGAGCGTCCACCACTGAGCAATCCTAGTAGGCTGTTACGTACTTAACTGGTTTTGCCTAAGTCATGCGGCATCCTTACGTGTCCATTCGCAAAGGTCAGCTTCCCCCCGAAACCTCCCATGGTCCCTTAGGACCTACAAAAGAGAAAATTGGTTAGAGAAAGCGCCTCACTCGGGATCCACAAGCAAACATTTCTGAAAACACTTCATAACCAATGCAAATTACAAACAGACTTTACAAGCTCTGAATGGTTGCACAACAAAGGGTCAAAATGGTTCACTACAGATTGAATTCTCTCACAAGTGTCCACATAACACAACCTTTATTTACAAGCCTAAAACGGCCACCAAACCCAACTAAAAATAGGGCTGTTAAGCCTTCAACCGTCCCTCTGCATGCTGTGCAAAGCATGAACGAACTAAAAGACATGGATATACATAAGTATTACATCAAACATCCTATTTAGAATTTTGTCCATGATATTCTCCCCCACTTATTCCTTCGATGTCCTCGTTGAAGCCTTTGCCGACACTGCAACTCCTCGCCTTCACTGAATCTTCAATCTTTTGCTCTAGTTGCAATGCGCCTCTTAGCTTCGAGTTGCTCTCCGCTACTGTTGTTGAGTAGTCGAACTTTTGATTCACCATACTGCTTCAACTCGCCAATGACTCTGACTCTAGTGTGGGATTGGCTGAGTTGTGATGATCCTTGTTGGTTCCTGCGGATCCATCATATGAAGGAAAAGACCATCCTTACTATGCGCCAGTCTCTCAAATGGCTCATGCTGCTTGAACTGGGTGGATGCTTATTGGAGCTTTAACGAGCATCGCCTCGTAAACTTTTGAAGTTTTGGGTCCTTCCTCCACAAAATTTGCCCATCAACTCTTCTTTCACTTAGTTATCACTTCCAAGTAGATTCGCATCACTTCCGCTTTCGATTGACATTCTATTGGGAAATGAAGCGGATAATATACTCTCAATAGCACTAATCACCATTGGTGAGGATTTAATAACTATTATCTTCCATTATATTAGAAGGGTTTTTGAACCTGTGCAGAGCTCCTCTACTAGATAGATAAGAGAATTGGGGTACTCGATTTCGCCCATTCTCTTAAGAGTTGAGAAGGCAAAGGTTACATAATTTCGCCCGCCTCCTCAAGAGTTGTACTCCATGTATCGAACTGGTTACTGGTCTTCGCCTACTCTTTGCTTACACTTTTGAAGCACTTGAAGTGTTTGCACTCCTTGCATAGAATTAGCTACTATGATTCACCTTCTCAATACAATCAAACTTTTGGAATGCAAGAAGTTTTCACCCCAACTTAGAGTAAGTCTCTAATAGTTTTGGTCGCCTTTAGGATTGTACCATCTTCTCCATCAACCCTGCCTCCTACTTCACTGAGTAACAAAGGTACAACTGTTGAATCTCAGATTTTGATGATGAAATCAATTGATGGATTAATTGATCTAATCCATATTATTGAGTTAAGTGTGTAGGATTAACTACGATAGCTTGAAGACATAAAGCAAGTCTACCGGAGTCAAGTTCGATGGGTGTTCGAGAATTCGAAGATTCGTTGGAGATGCTGCCGGAACCAACCGAGAAGAAATCGAGGACTTTCGGAACACTGAAGAAATCGTTAGAGGTTCGTGGAGATCAACGAGAAGGCTCGGCTACTCGCTGAACTCACCACAAGATCGGGAGCCTGCTGGGAGTCCGCGGAAGAAATCCGAGGGTGTATCGGAAGTTTGCTGGAAGATCACCGGAAAGCTCACCGGAAGGAGACTCGACGTTTGCCGGTTAAAAACTTGCTTAGGACTATGTTTTCAGTTGCATAGTTTGCATATAATTAGCGTTAGGATTAAGGGATAATCTTATATCTTGATTAGGGGCCAACTAGGCCCGAATATGATTTGGATTAGGCCGGATTTGAAGCCTAACCAATGACCGGTAAAGTCGGGCGGTGGAACCGCCGGACTGGGCAGTGGCACTGCATAGAACCTGAGGATCGGGCGGTGGCACCGCCAGTATACTGTTAGTGTTAGACACTAACAGGCGGTGGCATCGCCAATATCGGGAACCCAAGAGAATTCAAAATTTGGAGCCCAAATTTGAATCCTCTTAGAGTCTATAAATGCTCCTCAATTCTTAGCAGAGAATATAACTTTTTGAGATGCAATAGATTGAGATAAAAGCCTTAGCAAAGCCTTTAGCAAGCCTTGTTTTCAATTGCTTGAGTGTTCACCTCCTTCATTTTCATTGAAAATTTGTAAGAGTGTGAACCACTTGTAAAAGGTTGTAAGAGGGGTATTTGTCCTTCCCCTTCAAAGTGATTTGCAAGTGGAAGTTGGGAGCCTCATCGAAGAAGGCTTCGCAAGTGGATGTAGTTTATTTGACCGAACCACTTTAAATTGATGTGTTCCTTGAATGTGTGAGTATTTACCTTTCTAAAATTGTTATTTACACTGCAGCAAGTTTTCGTTTTCATCTTCTCACTTTACTCAAGTTACATTTGTTGAATCTCGTATTTTGATGATGAAACTACTTGATATATGTTTATGATTTAATCTGTGTTTTGAGTGACGCAGGGTGCTTCGATCAGGATGAGACAATTAAAGCAAGAACATCATGTTGTGCCGGAGGAACATGTCAGAAGATTGGACGTCGGGCCGGTGGATCGGTCGACGTATCGACAGAAGGCTTCGGGCTGTGGACTCGGGCATCGGGCCAAGAAGAGCGGGTATTA